TCCCTTCCAACACAAACCAGTCTATGATTTTTGCTACTTCTAAAGGACTTTACAAAAGAAGATATTATCTTGGTTTCAGAGGTGGGGTAACCAGCCCCATAGGAAAGGAAGCCAGCTCCTCAAGACGAAACAGCAGGCCAGCTACAGGCCTGAAGTAAATAGTTTGCTGTCTGACTCCCACTACAGGTCTTCTCTAGTTGGCCATGTCCTTATTACTAGGGATGTGTCCTTGTTAAATCTGCATCACCACTAACATCACTTTCTCCTTTCTCTGAACACAAGAAAGTTAGCAGCTCTCTCAAGTGTCTGCATACAGTAGAAATACTCTTCTTTCCCCTGCCACCCAACACGACCTTTGAAGAAACGGCCAAAGTCAAAATGTCTACTACACTTCCTAAGTTCATTATCAGCAATAATGCAGCTAAATTCAAGAGAACAAAAGATTCACTGTTCAGTGCTGGAACTTGGCTTCCTACTCAAGATACTACAGAAACAGAGTAATGATGACAAGGCTGGGGACTCTGTTGTAGGTACTTCGAACATTGATTACATCTTCACTGTAACATACATAAAAGTGAAAAAAATCAAATCAAAGTAATTTATTTGAATTCAACTGTAACTAGAAACTGGAGATTCTGCACAGACTCTGTCTGAAAGTATTTATAGACGTGAACAATATTAATTATGTGGTTCCAATGAAATACATTAATTCTGTTTTTACTAAGTGTGGTGAAATGCTAGGCTTGTAAGGTTCGACTTAAGCAAAAGTAAAGCAACGTGTTTATCGCGCTCTGGACAGAGCAAGGACGGGAGCTGAGCAACTTGCTCAGCTGGAAAAATGCTGGTATCTGCTTCTCCCTTCTACAAACCTTGCGAGGGTAGATAACAGCTGAAACAGGGAGCCTTGTGGTGGCAAGATGGCTCTGTTTTGGATAAAGAGTGAGGAACCATGCAGAAAAACAGTTTCAGCACAAAACTTTGAAGGCTATGATGCCCTGGAGTGAAACCTTTGCTTAATTATCTAGAAAATTAATATTACAGTTAACACCCCTGCTTATGTTAATGAGAATTATAGGGATTGTGCTATATATATTATGACTATGTTACTCAACTCTCTGCCTAAATCATGCTAGACCTAATCCATGGGAGGGGAAGCAAAGAATTAGAGAATAAAAAGAGGAGAATAAGGGCTAAAAATCGGGAGAAAGGGACTGAAGATCTAGAAGAGATGGTTGATGGGCTGTGCTCCTCTTCCTCCATGCAAGATAGAGATGCCTTCTTGGTAAGAATTGCACCTTCGCCCCTGGTGAAGAATACCAGGGAAAACTTGGCCAGCATTACTGTAGTATGTTAGCGCTGCTGCAGTGAGAGTATTTATCAACGTACTTGTTATATCTGTCATGTTAATAAATTACCTAGATTTGCAACCTTGTGAAACTCTCTCAGTGAAAGTCCCTGGGAGGGCTGACAGGCAAATGTCACACTAAATTCACTAAGTCTCTCCATAATGTTATTCCCACTTACACAGCCTTAGCAGGATTGAGCAAACTGGATAAGAAAGGAACTACATTTTCTTATCTAGTGTATGTGGAATGTAAGTATAAATAATAGACATGATCATTCCAGCAAGAATCAAATGTAACCACCTCATTGCATCCAGAAACAAGTTTTGGGTTGTTTGCTGTATTATTTTTTTTAAATATCTGTTGAACATTTATAAACACGAATTTTTTATATGGAAGAGACGCACATTATTTAAAAATTTACTTTTTTACTTCATATATCAATATAAAATTACTTACCTTCGTTTCCTTTTGCAAAGAAATAGTCCAATTACCAGAGTGGTGATCAAAGTCACCAGTAAAACAAGAGGAACAATGATTGCAATGCTTCCTAAAACAGGAAAAGGAAATATCATTGAATACTCTCAGATACATCTAATAATTTCTTCACAGCTGTAAAACAGTTGAATTAATTTTAAAAGAACAATTTCCCTAACAAGTGCATTTTCATGTGAAGAGCTTCACTGATTTGAGATTGCAACATCGATCAATTAAAAAAAAAAATCTAGATAATGGTGTACACACAAGTACGTCTAGCAACAAATCAGGAGCTTCTATCTTCTGGACACCAATATACTTTGGACCAATTCCCTGCCCTCATTCACAGCGATACCATACAAAGGTGTGTGAAATTCCTGAACAATTTGGATTGGAGTGGCATAGCCACTGACTAACTGCCACCATTGCCTTCAGTAGTCTAAGTCACACAACTATTAATTTAAAATATCCACTAGGCATGGCTCTGATTGAAGAATTCCATTATTATCATTTACACGTATTTACTACTTTTATTTGTGGGAAAATGAAAAGTAGTAAGCAATATTCATTTCTAGATGGTTGGTGCACTCCTGCATTTTACTGCACTGTACTTGAGAGCCAATAATTTTGTTATGTTGATACAGGCAATCAAGGAAACTACAATAATGCTTAACGTAGCAGAAAAACAGTGCACAGATCAGACAGCCATGTTAAAGGAGAGGAGGGAAGAGGAAAGAAGAAAATGGGCTTAACATTAGTTTGGCAGATAACTTCACTGAAACGAGACTACCTGCAAAAATAAGGTCAGCAATCGTACCCTCCTAAGAATTTCTCAGCTTTAATGTAAGCATCTGGCAATAAAGAAACACATGCAACAAATAATGTAAAGTTATAAAAAACTGGCCCTTATAAACTCCAGGTCTCCAGTATAAAGCCAATGTGGAATGACATGAATTCGCTTTAATATCACAATCCTTAACTGCTGGAAAACAAAAATTTTGTGGGTTGTTTCATTGGTTACATTTATTCAAAAAATAAGCTGTTGGCAGTCTCTGCTCTACATTAAACACTGTCTAAATAAAGAATTGAAAAAGATGCCTTGCATTCTGCCCGAAGGCTTACTGAAAGCCAAATCAGGTTGTCAGAGGCCTGAAACGGAGTACTGCTGAATAAAAACTTGAAGCATCCTGAGTTCACTTCAGCTTATGAAGATTCAGGATGTAAAGGACATTACAACAATGCTAGTTTAAGATAACATTTGATAAATAACTGGATGAAATTCTACTTAGGAGGCAAAAAAACCCTGCTGATTTTATCTGGCAGATAAACATTCAATAAAAAACACTTCGAAAAACAGCCCACCAGGCATGAATTCCCATCTGGTGACCATGGTGCAGCCTGGGAGCAGTCACGAGACGAACACCCATTTCCCAAATCGTAGCGGAATTCCCTCCACATGAAATACTGATCTAGGTTCTGGCTGCTTTTTTGCCCATTTCCAGCTTGTAAGTGTTATTTCACTTGTCTGCATCTCTAAGAAGATTTCATCGAAGCATCAAGCTGACCTGAATACTGGGAGAATCATTTTACTCCTCCAGTTGGGTTAAATGTGACCAACAGAAGTACAGCAGGGTACCATCAGCATACTCAATGTACCGCAGGGAATTTGTCCAGTTTAAACTGCCAATAGTGTAGCAATACCATCCTTTTATGCTTACAGATACGTTAAAAAAATATGACAGGAGCTATTCTTACTTTCAGGATGATTTTCACACTAGATAAAATTCAAACCTCTGCAGACAGCCAGCGCAAAAGTTATGAACTACTTACAACTCTATTTTTGATGCTTTCAGGAGGACTGTAATGGTCAGAGGTCTCGTACTAGTTCTCTGCACAGCACTGACATCACCAGGCACTTGCCACTTGATACACTTTCTTTAAGAAAAGTGCAGGCTAGCCCTTGAGGCAGTGAGTGTATAGCACATGGCTTGCATACAAACCATCTCATGGAACACTGAATATCAATCAAAAAGTTGAGATCTACGTTTCTTTTTATTTTTTTTTTTTTAAAAAGTACAGGGTAACCAGCCCATTTCATGACACAAACCCCCATTCTAAAACATCAGCAGATTAAAATTTCTAAACTGAGCCAAATCTGACAAGTGATAGCAGTTATTTGAAGTACTTACTTGTACTGATATTGTCAGACTTGCTGCTTTTGGGAGCTGGCCTCTCACACTGTGTGCCTGACCAGTTGGCCGAACATCTAAAAGGATCCAATTAAGATGGTAAAGTTAATAGATGTCAGTTATTAACACACTAACCTATTAAAGAGACCACCAGCATCTTCTCAAGAGCTACACAAATGACAACAGTGATTCTACAAAATAAACAATAAGCTTCATGGAAGGAGTCAGCAGTACTCTGCCATGGCACTCACAACTCACATTCTGAGTATGTTTTTAGTTTAAAACTACAGCTTTGTGTCTTCAATTCCTATTACTATCGCTGCAATCTTCATTACAGAGTCCTTTTCTAAAATTCTTGGATAATAAAACAACAGGCATAACCAATGGCATATTAACATCCTATTAAACCAGCTATGACCTACAACACAATAATGAAGGAACACTTGAGCTGGATCCATGCGTAGCCAACTTAGTCCAGCAAGGACTTTAGCCATTTGCTGAAGCACTTTATTTGCACCATATTGTTTTATGGTCAGCTTTGATCCAGAAGATCTAACAGCCACGTCCGTACTGCCCAATGCATATCTGACTGGACATAAACTGCTACACGTGTCCTGTAACCCACAGCATCCACACCAGTTGGCTGCTTCCACAGTTCTGCTGTTCCCCCGCTGCTCTGGACAATGCAAAGTTTACTGTAGAATTGTTCTTACAGACCTGGTGGTATTAATTTGCTTGAACAATTAAGACCTATCTTTGACTAACATTCAAAAATTAACTGAAGTTCCCCTTTTCTTTGCCTTCAGATTTAAACATTTTCCTGAAAACTCTACAGTTTAACAGCTCTATCTTTTTAAATTTTGAGCTATATAACTAGATACGTATTTGCAGAAATATATACGCGTGTGCATGCAAGTGTGAGAGTTAGAGCATAAAGAGCTGTCCTGAAGGGACAGGAGTATCTACTGACTTTGGAGGGCCCTGAATACGGTTTATGTTCAGAATATATGCTTCCAGGTGCCTGGATGAGTACACAGTTATTCTGCTATAATTTCCTTGTGTGAATATCAATATGCAAATACCTCTTCAAACGGGATTCAGAATGATCCCCATGCACACAAGCAAACACAAGGAGTCCATGGATGCAGACTCAGCAAATCCATCAAAAATGGAAACAAATACCTGAATGAAATTCAATTGGTTATTCATCCTGCTGTAAATACGATTAAATTTCCTACAGAGCCTCACTCAAACTCTCCTTGTGGAAACAGCAGGAAGCAGTCACTTTTCACCGGCCTCTGTTGCATATCGTGCATGCAAGGAATCACATTTTTTCTAAGTATTTTTGAATTATTTATAAATTTCAACGTGGGTTATCTTTAGGAAAATGTAATGGAGCATGACCTTGCACGCAGTTCTAAGAACTGCTGTTACCTGATGCCTTTCCAAGGATTTAACAAATTGCAGAGTTTAGAAGTGGACACGCTTAACAGCTGACGTTGTTCTAAAATACAAAAGGTTCAGAAAGGTACAAAATATTGCAGACAAAAACGGTGGAATTGTTACAGGAGAGCCCTAGCCAGCTCTGATGGTGATGCTTTTGACTCTTTTTTTGCCTTTGCAGATCACTGCAGAAGAATGGCTAGTTTCTCTCTTTGCTCCTAAGTCTATTCCAGCACAATCCAACATTCAGATAAATCTCTTCACTGGGTTTCATATTAAGTTTGAACTTCTTTGGGGGGAAAATAACTTCATTTTAGGTAGGATGTGTTATGAAGGTGCTTAAGTCAAACTCTACAGAGGGATGGCACAGATGGTCTTTAAAAACATGTTTATTAATTTATAGTTGATTCAAAATTTTTCACACATCAGATAAATTGCATTATAATTCAGTAAGTTCTTCATGTTCATTTAAATAAGTTTGTTCATTACATAAGGTAAATTTCCTCACTGAAGGGAACCCCTCCAATTACTATTTAATTACACAAATTATGGTTCAAAATGACATATTTTAAAACGGAAACCAACTGATATTTCCATTTGCTTACCACCACTTTAGACGTTCTAACTCACACGGAACACATGATTTTAATCTTTTAAATGATGCATCTGGTTCTTTTTTTACAGATCCCCTTTTAGCAATTATATCAGATGCAAATGACTACACTGACAACCTACCTTACTAAGACACTATTCAAGGAACTTGTTTTTTCAAAAGATCAC